GCTCTAACCAACTGAGCTACAGAGAGACAGTTGTCGAGCTCTAACCAACTGAGCTACAGAGAGACAGTTGTCGAGCTCTAACCAACTGAGCTACATGAAAGACAGTTGTCAAGCTCTAACCAACTGAGCTAGAGAGAGACAGTTGTCGAGCTCTAACCAACTGAGCTACAGAGAGACAGTTGTCGAGCTCTAAACAACTGGGCTACAGAGAGACAGTTGTCGAGCTCTAACCAACTGAGCTACAGAGAGACAGTTGTCGAGCTCTAACCAACTGAGCTACATGACAGACAGTTGTCAAGCTCTAACCACAAGTTCATGTATAAATACTAAGGTGAAATTTCATCTAAAACAATTAGTTTCCCTTCAACAATTACTTGTATCGAGTGAGATGCCCAAAATCCTGAGAAAATATTGCCAATACTTTTTTTCTTTGTGTGTATAATTGTCTTTTATTCGGTGGCAAATAAATAGAATTGAGAGACAGAGTTAACTCATTTCTCGCTCCTCTACTTGTCGACATTTCCGAAGTTGACCACCATCTGCTGTCCCGTAACCAGGGGTGTATATTCTTCTTTAGTATTTTTGCACAAGTGAACATAACAAATCATACATGTTGATTGGTCGAATTTGACGTAGTAAGCTGTTATATTCACCTACAGGTGAATATAACATACAGGTGAATATAACAAAACTGAAATTTTCAAAATGGCGGCCTGTCGTTTTGTGGAAGTTACTGATAAAGAAATAAGCGAAATTAAAATAAATTCAGTCCCAAAAAAAAAACACAAAAGACTTGTGTAAAAATACTAAAACAATTATTCGCCTCAGGCTCGGTGATTATCGGGGAATGGTCACCTCGACTTCGTCTCGGCGAATATTCCCCGATAATCACCTCGCCTTCGGCGAATAATTGTAAAATAATCCCGGGGGAGAATCAAAGGGTCTTAAGGCCATGGAAGAAAATCTAAGAAGAAAAGAAGAGTAAAAAAGATGACATTTTTTTAGAAAACTAGATAAAGATATTTTTCTGAATTTGAAGTTCAAAACGTTGTCTGGATCACTGGGAAACTGCAGTATAGACAACATTGCTAACCTGCCACTGAGTTTCTTTAGCTGAATTGATTTTGATTGTTCATGTTGGAAAGTAACTTATGCGAAGAAAGGGGGGGGGGGGAGAATTAAAGATCGTAACGCGCACTAAAACCTGACTCTTTTTATTAATATTGAAAAACGTATGTTCAATGAGACTGATATTTTAAATCTAATCTAATGTAGGGTCATGATTTGTCTGCTGATTACTGGTCTCTTGGTATTTTAATGTACGAACTTTTAACTGGAAGGTAGGATGAGAACGACTTATACAAGAGATGCATCATCTGTTTTGTCAAACCAAGTTTCAGAATCATATTGAACTCAGACTCTAAGGGACCAGTCATTAATTACGGCGGGGGTGGCAACGAAGAGAAAATTTTGAGTGAGTAAAAGGTTGGGAAAATGAAAAACAAAACAACTCAAGGGTTGGGTAATAAAAAGCAATGTTGTCAATACAATATGTAAAAAATCAATCAATCAATCAGAGTCACTATCTTGATCATTTTCCGACCTGCCAGGAGGCAAATGGTGTCTCCAAAGAAACTACATGTCCAGACAACATGACAACATTAGACTGCAGAAAATTGCACAAGCAGTCATCGAACTCATGTCCCAAAAATGGTAAATGACATGTGTGACAACTGAACGGTATCCTTTTGTAAAGTTTTTGGCCAGGGGTGGGTATTTATTTTTTTGTTCATGTTTGAGGTTGGGTAAAGAAAACGTTTGACTTTTTAACGGTTGAATCAGCAAAATTTCCACCAAGAAAAACATTTCTCTTCGGTGCCACCCTCCCCCACCCCCCCCCCGCCATAAATAATGACCAGTCCCTAACCAGGCAGACGAACTATATTCAGAAGAGCGCCATTTTTATCGCTATGGTTCTGAGAATAAATCGTGCCTTTCCAATACGTATTTAATTTTAATACACTTAACAAGCAAACCGACGTATCGTTTTCCCTCATTCCAGTCCTCCATTTTGTGGATCAGATCCGATGAAGACTTACAATATAATCTTACGAGGAATGGATATGATTGAGTTTCCGAGAAAAATTACGAGAAATGCTCATGTTCTGATCAAGAAACTTTGCAGGTAATGTAAAATCTCACTTTCTGAGCAAGGCTTTTCCAACCATCGATGTTGGACAATATAACGAACTAGCACGCGCTAACATCTGCCATCCTAGTTAACAGTTTCAACAAATATTTTCAGAGACAATCCAGCAGAGAGGTTAGGTTATCAAAAAGGAGGTCTGAAAGATATAATGAAACACAGATGGTTCGATGGCTTCAACTGGGAAGGTCTCAGACAGAGGAAACTTACACCACCAATTATACCCAAAGTGAGTAAAGCATTTATGTATGTCGTATATAGAAGAGTTGGTAGAACCAGCTAGCGAATAGCTTCAAGAACGGGAAGGATAACAGAACAGGCCTTAAAATATATTTTACAAGGCCGTCTGAAAAAATGTCCGATGACTGAGTTTGGGTCGGACATATGTATGATGATGTCCGATGACCTTCAGTTCAGTTTGGCTCGAAAATAAGTCTGAATGACGCATATTAATATCAGCACAATACTAAATGTTGTGAAGATATTAAATAATTTGTGTCATTCATACTTATTTCCAAGCCAAGATCAACTTGCTTCCCAATAATAGCAGTAAGACTTCGACAACTTAAGCCAGTTTTCCACTTCACCATTTCGCTCGCCGCCCCGCGCTCGATGACATTATTAAAAACAACATTTCCGGTTCATTTTTATACAATACTCTTGTTCTCCATTTATAACATACGAGCCTCTAGTCCGGGACTAGTGTACATTTTGATTTATGTGCGTGGAGAAAGCGTCGGACAAAGCTACAGTTCGGTCAGACACCAATACACTCGGGTCGAACAAACAATATAAAACCTCAGTTTCACTTAGGTCGGACACAGAATGTTCGGTGGTTTCCTCTCTACGACGGACAATTTGACGAATGGGTCGGACAATGTCCGTGACCGACCGACATTTTAGGGCCTGGATAATCAGACAAGAAAGAGGCAGGTCAGATAAGTAGTCTAGAGAGGCGGTCTAGAAACCCAAAGATGCGAGTTCGAATCTCTGCACTGTCAGAATGATATGAAACGAGCTTTCATATCTCTGAGGATGGTTCTGAAATAAAAGAGGCAGATAAGCTGACGAATGTTTTGTGTGTTACGTAACACGCACTCAAAACTAATGAGTACGCTTTTCCGTTTGGTTATGACTATATTCAATTGTTTTAACATTTCTCAAGCAGCAAATAAACTTCAAAAGTATGTTTAGTGCTTTATCTGTAAAATAATGCTAAAATGAAGAGATTTTAGATGGTACGCCAAAGACAAATTTATGTCTGAAGTTCAGTAGTATTTCCTTATATTGCTATATGGCGTCAATTTTACATCATCAATGGTAATTACATTTAAATAGTACATATTTAACTATTATTTTGTGTTTCTCAACCGCCAGATACGTTTAAAAAGGTTGCTAACTGTGTAAACTACAAAATAAAGTTAAAAACAAAGTAATTTTGAGAGGAACGCCAAAACGATTTTAGGTTTTCATCGCAAATACACGACATTGAAAAAAATTTCCTCTTGAGAAATACTATTGATGATAATAAGCATTTATGTATGGTATAACATTACAGCATAGCTTATGTAATTGTGTGCATGGCTAACTGGAGCTGATGTAGCTGAAAACTGAGTGTCTTAGCCGAGCATTCCAATAGCTTAGTGGGCAAGTGCTTGGGCTCGATTCCTTCCTGATCAGGATATTGGGGAATTTTTTATTGCTGATAGACAGGGACTTCAACCTAACTCACTTTCTGCGTTTTTCAGGTGAAGTCAGGCACAGATGCATCAAATTTCGACGAATATCCTCCAGATGACGAAGTGCCTGTAGATGACTTGACTGGCTGGGATAGAGATTTTTAGGTAAAGAAATAATCGCTCACAATAATATCAAGTGTCAAATTTATGTCAAAACAATGAAAAGAGAATGAAACAGTTTGATCACTGGATCATGACTGGATGGCATGGAGAACAGTGGGATTTTATTCTGAACACTGGATCATGACTGGATGGCGATGGAGAACAGTGTGATTTTCAAAACAATGGAACATTCTGATCACTGGATCGTGACTGGATGGCATAGAGAACATTGGGATTTTCAAAACAATGAAAAGACAATGGAACATTCTGGTGATCGGATCATAACTGGATAGACTGGATGGCATGGAGAACAGTGGGATTTTTAAAACAATGAAAAGATAATGGAACATTCCCGACCACTGCATCTTCACTCGTCAGAAAGAAATCATTGTTAATTTTCATTTTATTCTTTTAGGTAGAATGTATGGTACTCACAGAGTGAGGCATCAAGTATATAGTGTTCTATATACATACAACTGGCATAACATTGACAGTCTTTTTTACTACTGTAAATACACGACCAACTACAATCGATATACAATATAGGCATCTTCCAATTTAAACTATGTAATACAACAGCAGCACTGATCTGGAAACTATATTGGACAATACAACCATTGTTTATTGCCAGTCCTGAGACCCAGAGTTAGTATATAAGATATTGACAAGTGTAAATATGTTGTGAAGATTATTTTTATGACTAGATAATGAAGTGTAACAAATGAATATTTTAACTTATATGCGAGTTTTCTTGTATATTTACGTACAAATAGGGATGCACTTTTAAAAAAAGGTCTATCTTTTATTACCTCAGTTTAAGCATTAAGCTTTAATGCGCCCTACTTTATTATCTTTGCCTAATGCCAGAAAATGTTACTAGTCAAGGGAGAATCATGCAACAGAATAGAGACAAACATAAGGTCGACTCAGCCAAAGAATCATGATATATTTATTTATGTTTCGCAATGATTTGTCATCAAAATGCTGTTGCCAAGTTTCTAGCCAAGGGCAATCACCGCCCGAACATCTGCCATATTAATATTATTAATACTTTCAGGGGGTGAATGCCTCTCATAAGTGAGTGCACTGGCTAGGACCATGGTGACAGCATTGAAACAGCTACACCAAATTGACTAAAATCTCATAAACTACATCAGAAATTTCAAAACAATTAAGTGCATGTTTTTGTTCATCAGCATGTTGTTGTTGTTGTTGTTGTTGTTGTTGTTGTTGTTGTTGTTGTCGTAATCAAGGCTGTTGTAGTTGTTGATGTCGTAGTCAAGGTTGTTGTTGTTGTCGTAGTCAAGGTTGTTGTTGTTGCTTTTGTTGTCATTGTTGTTGTACGTAATTGTGTTCTCATAAATTATATAAATTATTTAGGATTTAGTGTAATAATATTGTAAGTTTATATGTAATTTTGTCACTGAAAAACCCTTCAGGGGAGTGTCAATAAAGTCAATTCCATTCCTATTCTGTGTAGCTGTGTGCAGCCTAAAATAATAAAGTAGGGCACACTAGCACAGAATACTATACAGAAGGCTATCACCATTGTTTTTTGCGTAAGCGCTGTTCGTCATGATTCGTCACTCAGCAAGTACCGTAAACAGAAGCAGTAACCCCCCTGGACATGTGCCATTTTGAATATTTCCAGGGGGTGACTGCTTCTGTTTACGATACTTGCTGAGTGACGAATCATGACGAATAGCACTTACGCAAAAAAAAACAATGGAGATGACCTTCTGTATAGTATTCTGTGGCACTAGGGTGCAAAATGCAAACATTTGAATATCCGATTTATAGAAATATTAATGCACCTATCAATATTAATCCCGGGGGTAAGGGTGCGGGCAATGGGTGGGGATTTGACTGTGAATATATTAAATATTTTTTGCCCGGGTGCGGGAGATCTTCCATTCAACATAATTCGACATGCGATTTCAGTACGAAGCCTGGAGCATAGAATCGAGACAACCGAAAGTCCGGAAACTTTTATTTTTTATTTCCGTATCTGCTTCTGTCTTTTCTGGCGTTTTGGAATTTGTCCTCGTTTCTAGTACAATGCTCAGAGATTTCAATAAACGGGTGAGTAGAATCGAAATATATCCTTGATGTTTACTATCCATCCAATGAAAATATTTTCAAATTTGTAAAGTATAAGGATTCTGGGGTTAAAATTTACGATGCCCAGACGCTTTTTGTGGTTCTTTGTATTAAAATATTTTTCCTCGATCTATCCCCTGGGTGCGTCTGTTTTGAAACATTTGATTATCTTAGAATGCCCCACCAGCCGGCATTTGACCCAATTTTTTTTAACTTTTTTGTCAAATCCCCGCCCCCCGCACCCTTACCCCACCCCCAGCGGATTAATATTGATAGGTGCATAAAATACCTACAATTCAAATTTTCTATTACTGTACAAAGTCAAAGTGCAAACGAAAATAGTCTCAGACAACAATAATAAAAATAAAATGTAAGTAGGCATGCAAATAAGTACACAATATTTTAGGTACAAACCTGTAATATGTGTTATTTTTTTCAAAGAATAGATTTTCGCCAGTTTGTGAAATGAATCCGATTTTAAAACATATTTAATAATACGATCTTTATATAGAGAATAATACATGAGTGCGCAGAAATACCAGATTTATTTCGGGTGTTGAAATTTTGGCAAAATCCCAGTCCCAGTTGGATTTTTATTAGAAATCCCAGTCAATAAAAACCCCTTTATTTATCAGTACTATAAACAGTTTTAAGACTTTTAAGCTTGTGTGCAAGTGGCACACACTTTATGAAATTTGGGGGGGGGGATTGTGCCGAAGGCACGGAAAATTTTTAAATTTGAATCCCGGAAATGGCATTTGCAGCATTCTGAGATACGCATAATCAGAAAACCCAGAATTCCGGGCGCCAGAGTATGCCTGTTCGCAGGTAGTGCTGTGAATAATATAGTTAACAACAAAAATCATGACCAAAGACACCAAAAACGGATCAAAATTGTATTTTAAAATACTTAAAACGTAGAAAAATTGGGAATCGGACTCACATTACCTCAAACCCATTGCCATTTTTGAGGACTTCATTTCCCATTCCCAGTGGCCAAATCCCAGTCCCAGCAACCCAAATCCCATTTACCCAGTCTAAAAATAGATCAATCCCAGTTCCCATTTTACCCCTTCAGGACCCTCAATGATATAATGCGAAAAATGTGCACCTTAATTACGAGTAAAGGTACAGATATCGACGAAAATATTGCTAACCAAAATCATGCTACCCGTATACGTACACCGAAACCGGGGTATCCTAACCTCTCTAATGAGATATCATGTTCAACACGAGAAATAAATCTGGTATTTCCAAGCACCCATGTATTTTTCTGTTTATTATATAAAAGACAGTCTGTGAAAAGCGATACTTTTTACAGAAAAGCGATAATTGAAAAGCGATAATTTTCACATGTGAGGTTATCATGAATAATCTCACATGTGAGATTATCACTTTTATCAGTGCTCGAAATCTCTTTCAAAAACTCATTAATAATTCATGAACCAATTATCCAATCTTGAGTAAGAAATTAGTCACGTGCATACGTCTTTATACCAGCTAAAGAACACTTTAACAAAAGACCATTGTTTATGCAAACTATATATAAAGATTTTTATATAAAGATTTTTATATAAAGATTTTTATATAAAGATTTTTATATAAAGATGTGACTTATTTATTATGCATACGTTTTTGAAGCCTGCGCGCTCGTGGCTTTAAACCTAATAAAACACTCCTACTCGTTTATTAAACAGTAAGGGACCGGTCATTATTTATGGAAGGGGGGGGAGGGGAATTTTTTCTTTTCTAAATTTTTAAAATTGAAAGCCCCCCCTCCTAAAAGAGCAGAAATAATTTAATGATGACCCCCCTGCATATTGGAATATTTTTCTTTGACCCACCCATTTTTTTTTTGCTCGTCAAATGGGGATACCCAGGCGTTATAGTGTTAATTAGTAAATAAGAATATGGAACTGGCAAGATATTAACGTTGACCAAAAATATATATATTAGCGGAAAATTATAATTAAGAGAGGAGTATTTTTATATATAACACTAAAATCAGGTTTCCATTTGGTCTGGGCAATTGTAACCATGTTTAAGGCTGCAACTAGACTTGATGGTACGAAGTATTGCCATAGCAGCTGCGCAGCAACAATGAGAGCAACAATCAGTAATATTAGCAGCAAAAGGAGATAGCAATGACAATTCTGCCAAGGCATTACCTGCGAAATACAATGTATAGTGGTCTATACATCCTATTTTCTGTGAGATTAAAAATTATATAAAATAAAATGACATATACTAGCTGCCAGATAAAATCCTTTAGAATGAACATGGGTGAGGAATTTTAAGGTATCGAAGCACAAAACTTGCTGCAGATATAGGCAAAGCATACAATGGCAGAATAAATACCCAGACCGAAGCACTGATCACAAGGCATGAAACAACCCCCTTTGATCGATATGACGTCACAGACTCCCCTCAGTGGATGTGGCCTGCATAATACATCCACCGTTAACCTTGCTTAATTTAAATGTATTTAACCACATCAAGAGCTGATGTAATAATACATTGTCAATTTAACTAGTCTGCAAACCGTAAATCTGATTTGCATACAGCACACACAAGACAAGATGAATCCAGACTATTTCACATCAGTGACCATGATTTAGTTGCAACATGCATTTACAACCAAATGGATACCAGGTTATTAAACAAATTCCTTCTAATTTAATAGACAACTTGCATGTTAGACAAATTTTTGATCTAGCCTATCTAGGCAAAAAAAAGTAAATTCCCGCTAAGAACTTATTAAAATTAGTAAACTTGCAAAATTTGACTGCGAAATGTTGTAAAGCTTGGAAAATATAGCTTTGCAAAGTTTGCATATTTTCAGTATATTTGTATTACGTGTGGAAATTGTTACCATTTTTGAGCCGAAAATGGTAACAATTTCGCTCGTAATACAAATATACTGAAAATATGCAAACTTTGCAAGGCTATATTTTCCAAGCTTTACAACATTTCGCAACCAAATTTTGCACTTTTACTAATTTCAATATGTTCTTTCTAGCTGTTGTGTCTGATTCCCTTTTCTGTGCTTAGATTAAAATTTTGTCTAACATGCAAGTTGTCCATTGCAACCCCCCCCCCATCATTTTCTTGAAAAAATTTAATAGCCCCCCCTTCTTGCCATTTATTTCTACATATGCCCCCTTATTTTTTCTCCTCCCCTTCCATAAATCATGACCAGTCCCTAAAAGCACTATACTTTATAAAAAAAGATAAAAACACAAGTCAGGAAACGTATCATACTGAAAAACATATACAGATTTTCTGTTTTTAATATGATAAAATACGAAAACGGGGCTGTTTTCAATACAAGTTTTAAATTAAAATACTCACAGTAAAATATGAGTAATAGTTCGCCGAAAAAGCCGTCTCAGATATCTACAGCAAAAACAATGTCCCAAAAACAGTTTTTATGCATGTAAATAACATTTTAAGAAAAACTAGAGTAGCACATAATGTTATTTTTTATAAAAAACTTACCATGGTCACACATTTATACTTTTTTTTAACTGAGAAAAGAGTTTAATATATTTACGTTTCTTCGCAAGTGGTGAAATTACGAAATAGCGGTTCGCACTGTTGGTTTTCGTCCGCTCAGAAATTATATAAATACTTACATTTTCTCCACATATATGTCTTGGAAGCCACAGCGTGTAGTTCTAGTATACTTCTACCATTTCCAGTAACTTTTTTGATGTTTTCAGGCATTTATTTGACGGTTTCATGCATTAAAAAATTCAATTTTTGACTTCTTGTTCAAATTTTAATTTCGCGGTTTTCAATGAAAGCCAAATGTTTCCACTTCGGCGAGACAAAAATTTCCAGATTTCATGAGACATCACTATTTTCCTTTCATATCGTAATTTATGCAAATTTCGACGATAAAATTGAAGTGAAAAAATCAGTGAAATGCATGAATATATTTTAGTATTGAAGCCAAACCTGACCCCAGGCACGCGTGTTTTTGTCTTGCGGCAGACTTTTATCGCAGAAAAATGCTCTTTCAATAAACAATCATTAGAAAAAAACTAAAAGTGAAGTCCACAAGGACGTTTTACCGGCTGAATAATTAATAAATGCATTAATAGAAAGCTTTCAGCGCTGTCAAAAAGGTTTTTTTCTACGGTCGGTTTTCAAGATACATATTCAGATGACAGATTGACTGCGCTCTGGGACTGGCCGTCAAGTTTGGCTTCAAATTTATTCCGGTTAGAGGTAGCGTTCCAGTTATATTCATTTCAATGCAAAAACCGCACATAAAAATGGAGTTATTTTTCATTCAATTAGATTTTGTTTTATTTAATAGCAATTCGCTCAACGCCTACCTAGTTTTTATATAAGTAAATATCTATTCTTTCGTATTACAAATATCGATGTAAAACTATGCAAAAACGAGTAAAATTGTTCGCATTATAATAATTTTATATCCAATTTTATATCATATAGTTGCTATTTAAATTTGTATTGTTTATCAAAAAGGATAAATTGAAAGTCATTTTAGTGAAAGTATTATACGTAACTGTCTATTCATATTAATAATTTCTCATTGTAACTCATTGTTATAGAAAGTCTGAATGGGGTTACTTTAACTTGGGTTCAAATTTTAACTGGCATTCTGCAAAATATCGTAACTGATGAAATGGCAATTTGGAATTAGCATGGAATTTAGACTTTAGATAAACTCATAACCAGATTTCTAAGTCCCCATTAAAACCTTCGTGTTAACATATAAATCTTTTTTCTAAACGAGTGCATATGTTTTTGTCATCAAACATTCTAACAAAACAGTCACTCTAATAAATTTCTTGCGATTTTGAACAATTCTGTTCATTAATAATATACGCGGCAAAAATAATCAATCCCGCAATTCACTAGTTCCAAGTCCGTTTAGTATTCCCAGAGGGTATTTTTCGCAAGCTTTTCGCCATTGGCGGTGAATGCCCCATTACTCTCGCCTTTCAAATATTTGCCGTTATTCGCTTTTATACACATCTTCGTATGCTCTCGGAACTCGAGTTGGAAGGTCGCACAGTCTTCGGAAGTGCCCGAAAGATTCAGATTCGCCTCTCCATCAATTTGAGCAAATTTTCCATTCCTGCCTTCGAGCTTATATTTCCCATCTTCGAAATGCAGCTTAAAGACTTCGTAAGAACTTCGGTTGCATTCGAGCCGTGCCGTGCTCGGGCCTCGCATTCCGACGAAGCCATGCTCACCGCGCAGTATAAGCAGGGGCCTGTTAATGAGTTGCAGGAGAAACTTCTCTTTATCACCGACGCTTTCCGAAGTGGGCGCGAGTTTGCCGTTCGGTTTAATGGTGACGTATTTGTCGCTGGCTGCCTGGAAACTGACGTGGCTACCGTGCCAATCGATTCCGAAGAAGGCCGAGTCAACACGATCGCTGGAGGTCGCCTTGACGTCGCCATTTGCGATCCAGTACTCCCGAGTGTTTGCGAGCATGCAGACTTTTCCTGGTTTCTTCGGGTCAAATTCCATTTGGAAAATTTCCGTGTCAGTAATGTCGAAACGCTGGTTTGCGGTCACTTCATTTCCTAAAAGACAGGGATAATATATGATTTATTTAAAATATTTAGACTTTGCAAAAATACATCTATCATTTACATTACACATTTTTACAAAAAATTAGCAACCTAGATCCTAAATTATAAAAAAATTAAAATAGAAAAGAAAAAATGTAAGTATTGTATAGCTTCCCGGACGACGGAATAAACGAGTCTCAAAAATGCCAAATTTCAAGTTCACTTTTTACAAAAATAAACTAACCACTAGAAAGTTCGCCAAAAAGTATAATTATATAAGACATTTAAGCGAGAGGTATGATTTTCGCAGCTGATTTTGAGCTTTTAATGCTCAAAAATGAAGAAAATGCGAAGAGAATGTTACTATTTTGCCAACTTTAACTTTAAGCTCCTTTAACTTAAAATCGGCTTGCAAATTCGCACAACTCGCTTAAATGTCTTATATATACTTTTTTGTGATATTTCTAATAGTTTTGTTTATTTTTGTGAAAGGGAAACCTGAAATTTTGCATTTTTAGTCAATACAGATATTGTACTTTATTAGCCAAAATTTTAAAATTCTCAAATTTTCGACTGTAAAGTCAAAATCTGAGGTGCCAATAAATACTGTATAGTCTTGATCACCAATGTGTAAGTTATAAGAAAATGCCAGTTTGTATAACAAAAAGGTTGGTTAATTCTTACTTTCTTGTGGTGAAAAACAAGTCATGTGTGTTTGCAAATGAAAGTAACTTAGGTTTTACATATAAAGAGCATCCTCAAATTGATTGACTTTTTGACAAAGTATTTAACAAAGGTTAAACACTTCATGAATATCATGAATATTTAACACGCAGATGTTTTAACAGCTATAGTTTCTCTTTTGAACTCTTCGCGTTTGTGAACGCGTTGTCGCTTAAAATAACTAGTTAATCCCTTAAATTATTTTAACAGTTTCATGTTGACTCCAAATGTTTATATTAAGGATTAAAACACACAAGAGGTAAATGATTGAGGGGCATTAAGTGTTTCAAAGACAAATAAAACGTGTTCTCGAAAATATGCCCATCGAGCCAAATTTTCGTCCCATTTGGAAATGCCGACTTTTACACAACTAAATCATTTTGAATACAGTTTTCGCTCATCAAACACTGGGCTAATACGATATAATCTTGTAAATGCGTGTTTCGTTTACACTTCTCTTTGTTTTAAAGGCATTATGCATAATTGGGTATTGGTTTGAAAAAAATTGATTTGTCTTGACACGTCCGGTTGCCCTTGAAAATGTCCGAGTGTATATTTCTTATAGATATAGAAAATGGAAGGTTTTTGCCACGATTGAGTAAAAATAGATACGCATCGCGTGCATTTTGCTTGACCAAGTAAACAGCAGGGGTTCTCGGAGGGGGTTGTCGTGGAGAATAAATGCTGCTTTACACGTAACAAAGTTTCTGTGATCACACTAGGAATTTTCCACGTCCATGGGTAAATTCTAAGGTTTGAAGGATTTTTAAGAATTTTTTTGAGGGATTGACTCATTGTTTAACGCTCCCTTCAAAACCTATCGAACTGAACTATGCCAAATTTCTTCTGTGATCACTTAGCACAAGAACGTTTCAACATGCAAATTCGAAAGATTGTTGCCTTATTAATATTTTATTAACGGATGCCAATTTTTCCCATTGTGGCTAGTTTTGCATAAGTATCTAAAGGCCATTTAATATTTTATATCTGTTTAGTTGAACAAAGAGTTTTGAAATTATGCATGTTGTGATCTAGACAAAAAAACTCAGCTAGACATTTGTCTACACACAATATATTAATTGTATATTACAGTCCTAACAATCAGTAAAGTATTATATTAAGCGCTTCCTAGACGGCTAGACGAAGCTATATTGTTATATTTTTTAGGTACAGTAGATCCGTAAGATTCCCGATAACTCGAACTCCCAAGGGGGGCAAAACGTCTAGTTAGCTAGCGGAGATTCAAATGTTGGATATTAATCACAATTGTGAGCCATTACGATGCACTGTAAAGAACTTACAAAGTTTGTACTACCGTTACCTATGAAGTTAAACAGTACTTATCACAGTGTTTAACACTACACGAGTATGATCGACGCAACTTTTTTATCGACTTGTATTACGTTTGTATATATTATATATACCGATTATATACCGATTAAATTGTTCTTGTCTGAAAACAAATCCAAGCTCCCGATTTGCCAATGTGCTTATGTTCCGACATTTTGAGGTTTGCCAATCCACGTCTTAGAAACTGGGTAAATTTGACCAAAGGAAAATGAAATTTGTTCGAGTTAGCGAGGAGTTCGATTTATTAAGTTAACATCACTGTAAAAATGGGGTCAAGTCCAGGAGAAATTGGATTGAGATTTAAGAAACTTGATATTGTTGTGTTTGTCGACATTTAAACACATGTCATGGGCTATCGAATTTCGGTTTTCTTGGCACGAAAATAGTTTCGAAGTTTTTAGTTTAAAATAGTTGAATTAAATTCACACAAACTAGAAGCATACTTTGAAAATGTCTTAGATAAGAAGGCTAGAGAACTTTTGAAAGGGTATATAAACATGATATAAAAACGCTTGACTTATGCCTTTTTGCACGAAGAGTGAAGACTAATTTCTTGGCTGGAGTTACTGCCTAACTAAAAGTCGTATTGTTTCCGATTGTTGTTTCGTTACAAACGTTCTAGACTGACTCGCCTATCTATTGTTCTACCCTACCAAGGAAAATTGGTATTGTAGCATCCGAAAACACTCAGTTTAATACACACAAAACAATACCAAACTAGTTATTACGCAGTCAGGCTAGAATATATGCTTATACTTCCCCTGACCCCTGCTGGTTTGAAGAGTGTAATATATTTGCCTAAGGTGTATTCAAAATCTTCAGGTAGTTCCTTAGAAACTTCGTCCAGTTTTCTATACAAGTGCATGACCCGCGATAAGTCAGCGCTGTGTTGAATCATTTGTCCTGGGATAAGTCCAAGATAAAGTTCATGAGAATAAAAGTTGTCCTGGATAAATTAAACTGGTTTATCAAAGAACGAGATATAGTTCAATGTCCTGGTTTTACACTATCAAAGTTTCTGTGATCACAGTAGAAATTTCGCATCGGTAAATTCTAAGCTTTGAAGGATTTGCAAGAAATGTTTGAGGGAACTGGCTAAACAACGAAAACAAAACCTAGAATGTAGCCATATGCAAAATTCCTACTGTGATCACAGAAATTTGATAGTGTAAAACAGACTTTTCTGTACCTTGTCTGATTGAGACCATTCTCTCATTCTGTGCCGTCAGCATACACTGCGGATGATTATCAACCAGGGAGAACACCTCGTCCCTTCCAGCGACATCTTTCTTGCTGGATTGGATTTTGCCTTTGTTTCCAACACACGTCAAGAACTTGCCTTCATGGGTACGGAACGCGACTCTTCCTTCGTGGAACTCGATCAAATACTGCCCCTTTTCGGTGAGCTTTTCGTCCAAAGATCCGTCCGCATTGAGGTAGCGTGAATCGCTTGTGAGCAAGCCGTACTTTCCGTTCTTGAACTCCAAAGTAATCAACGCGTCAGCACCCCAAGGAATATCCTCGCTCACTTGGACCTCGTTCGATTCAAGATGCGCGAAGCGTTTGCGGACCACATGGAGCAAATTCACTTGAGGATGGATCGCGAGCTGAAGTGTCCACGATTCAGCTTTGCCAATAGTTGTAGCGAATGCGTTAATTTGATCGTCCTCCCCGCCCAGGAATCGATCGTATTTGCTTTTCAATGCGAGCTTCCCATCGGCTTGGTAAGTCACCGTGAATTTTGCGTCATCTTCACGTTCTTCGGCCTCGCATGAAAGTTTCCCGTGTTTATCCGCTGTTAGATAGCGACCGAGATGACTTTTCAGGAAGATATGACTCGCATCTTGTTCCACAAGCCACATTTGCTTTTTCTTCAAATGCACGCCGCTCGCGTTCACTTGGAACCCGAAACTTTCGGCTGTTAGGTATTTGTTTTGAAAATTCACCAAGCCGACGTAATAAGCTTCTACTCCAGCCATTATTAATCGTTATTTCTTGACGTTAACTTGAGACTATAAATGCCGTACAAGGCTATTGTGGACACGCACACCGCGTAAATAAAAGACTCAATAATGCTCGAGACTCAACATAAATATATTAATACAACACGTCACTTCCTGATATATAATACTCAAAATGATGGTACCCGCAGTAAAAATTGAATATTCGTTTACATTTCTTGTTTACATTCAAATATTTTCTGTTTATTTAAGTGCTAAGCCCTGTATAAAATACTTAATATTTCGTTCAAACTCTGAACGTTTTGAAGTAATTCTATTCATAAAATTTTAAAACTTTCTGTTTCAAGTGAATCCATCTGCTTTGCATCTTCTCAACACATGTCATAATCCTTCAAGTATTGTTTCAAAGCACATTCGCCCGTTTCAAACAAAGCCGTTTATTTTAGAGTATGCTGCCAATATTCGAGTCGAAATGGGTTGTGTAATATGGTGTAATTGTTTGCATTTCATAATAGCGTTCAATAAAACGTATTTTAGTGCTTGTACAAGCAGAAATTACGCTTGATGTTTGAGTTTAAGGTTTCTATTAGCGTGCGTGTCTCGACATGCCATTGTTTATAGGGAAAGCACTCACGCTGTTCGAGATAAGCTGGATATCAGGTCATACCGTCATAAATATGTAAATGATATTAGAAGCGGTGTAATTCTTGTCTGGGTCTAATCATTTAGGTATGGCTGAAACGAGTTGCAATATAAAGTCGATCTACCTTGCAAGCCTACAGAGATAATTGGTAGTGAGTTCTTATCCTTTATAAGTACACGAGATTTAAACTCTCAACCTTCAGGAATCTAGCCCACTGCTATATACCTGTTGAGCTATCAAGCCGACAGAGATTTTGTGATGAGTTGTTATTCTTTCCACAGACTTGAACGTTTACGAAAATGATATTAAATACATATGGTTTAAAGTGCGCGAAAATATTCCTATCATTTCGTTCTCCAATATTGACGAGAGGGGAAGGAAGGCGAGCCCATCATCTGTTGAAATTTCCTGAAATGCAAATTACATCCGTAATATAGTCTGGGAGCTTATCTGATTGGCATTGCTGCAGATTCGCATCATTGCTGAAAGCATCTTCATAAAGTGCTTGGCCTCCTCCTGTTTTCAATACAGATAAGTTCACGTGGGCTCGTCTATATAGGTTTGTTAGGTCAACAGGTAGAGCAATGAGAATTTAAACTAGGGATCCAAGGATAGTGCAGAGTTTCAAAGACAAACGCTATAAGGCATGCTTATTAATTGAATAGCTTTTCAAGCGTGGTTTATAGCCTTAATCACATGTCGTAATAGCGCGAGGAACTGTTACAACAGTAAAAATGCTAAGATCTGGTTTAAATATAATACTCTACGGTTGAAGAATAACGAGAGTTACGTAATATTACTTATTTCTCCATATAATATTATAGTGACAAGGCATAATTTCTGTTATGTTGTAAAGTTTGAAATTGAAAGACACTGCAAGGATTATATAGGATCGCCGACAACCTAGAAAAGCTGATGGGTTACACTACGAAATAAACAGATATCATAGGCATTTCATCTCATTATCTATTGTTTTTAATGCGTTCGGCACACGAGTAACCCGACGTTTAAAACAAGCCTAACACATCAGAAACGTCGTGCTTCGTGGAACTGACACAATTTATTGGAGCTGTCGCCTAGTATCCCCACAAGGCTACTGATATGCTAAACTTATTTCAAAAACTCATTAATAAATCACAAAGAAAAAGCAAAACACAAAGAAAAATCATAAGCGTGTCGTGGTTTTATATGTGATAAAAAATCATGTTAATTTACATAAACTTTAGCTTTGATTTTCTCGGTATAGACAAAGTTTATTTTAAAAATTACTTCGCCAATGAACTCGTATAAGATGAGTCGTTTTTGAAGCTATTTAAAGCACTTGTAGTCGTGTTTTATCACATATAAAACACTCCGCTACGCTTCGTGTTTTATATATGATAAAACACTCCTACGCGTGCTTTAAATAGTACTTAAATCTATGATTATTGCCAATGCCATCATCGTTTTAGTGCCCATATTGTACATTTGACTATTGTCCCAGTCACAACTTTAATTGCAATAGCTGTATAAGATATGTTATGAATAATTAATAAGAACTACGACGTTGTATTCCATTACAAAAAAACAACATAAATCTAAAACACGGAAACGTAAAAAAGAGGATTTATCCAAATCCGTTCCGTTCCGCATTTTATCTCCATATCCGTTCCGTGGATCCGCTCCGTTTCGCATCCGCTTCCGCATTTTAACCTAGTAGTGACCATAGATAGGTTGTGACGTGTCGCAATAACAAGCTCACTGACCTTTGAGTTATTTTGAAGGTCGCGTTGTGTTCATGATTCATTTTGAGCTTTTCGCATGTAATCAATATTTCAATGGTTTCACAGTTATAGCAGTGTTTATAGCAGTTTTGACAAACTTTGATACAGATAGACTCTCGTAAGATCTGGTAGAGTTCTCGTTGCACTGAAGTCTGAACACGAGTTTGCACCGTTGACGTTGTGCTAGACACGTAAACCACGATTTTCTCAATATTTATGTTTGAAATGTTTATACATTTGAAAGCAACACTGTCTCGCTGCTTCCTAGCTCTGCACAATGAATATACCGTCAAACTAATATCGGCACTTGAATGCATTACGTTACGTGCATAACATCAATTTACATATTGCGTAGTATCTCAAAGATTTTCTCAATATACTGACACGTCTGAAATGTTTATACATTTGAAAACAACACTGTCTCGCTGCTTCCTATAGCTCTGCACAATGAATATACCGTCAAACTATAAATATCGGCACTTGAATGCATTACGTGCATAACATCAATTTACATATTGCGTAGTATCTCAAAGATTTTCTCAATATAATACACGTCTGAAATGTTTATACATTTGAAAACAACACTGTCTCGCTGCTTTCTAGCTCTGTACAATGAATATACCGTCAAACTAATATCAGCACTTGAATGCATTACGTGTAATATTAACATCAATTTACATATTGCGTAGTATCTCAAAGATTTTCTCAATATAATACACGTCTGAAATGTTTATACATTTCGAAACAACACTTGTCTCGCTGCTTCGCCTAGCTCTGTACAATGAATATAACGTCAAACTAAGTAATATCGGTACTTAATTGAATGCCCGTAATGCATAACATCAAATTTATATATTGCGTAGTATCTCAAAGATTTTCTCAATATAATAGACGTCTGAAATGTTTATACATTTGAAAACAACACTGTCTCGCTGCTTCCTAGCTCTGTACAATGAATATACCCTCAAAATAACATCAATACTTAATTGAATGTCCGTAATGCATAACATCGATTTATATATTGCGTAGATTCTCAAAGATTTACTCAATATTCACATCTAACATGTTTATAATTTGAAAACAACACTGTGTCGCTCCAGCGCCTCCTTCCTAGCATCATCACGCCATCGTGATCTACGGCTTGATAGCGCATGCGCATTTGCGTTGCTAAGGAAAAAAATGGGTTTTCCGGAGGAAAGATCCTTCACACAACATGAGAAGCGAATGTTTTAAAATTTACAAAAATTTACAATAACGACAACGATTCCTCGAAATTTTTGTGAACTTGGCAAAAGAACAAAAGAATATTTAAATAAAACAACTGAAATTGCCTAAATAACCTTCAAAGCACAATAAATCACTACAAACATAAATCGTATACACATAATACACCCCCCGGAAAGTTAACTCTATGACTGATTGACTGACTGACTGATGTGAATTTTCCCAGTCATCACAATAGTGCACAGTTTCAAAGAAACTCTGCACTAATAAAGCATAAGAACTCACGAGCAATCTCCATAGGCTTGATAGCTCAACAAGAAGAGCAGTGGACTAGAGTCCTGAAGGTTGAGATTTAAATCTCGCGTGCACATTTTTTCAGAGGATTATTGCGAGGGGTAAATTACTCCGAGAAACGGATACGAAGATTCTTGGGATTAAAAAATTACCCCTCGAATTATTGGTTATCAGTAAATTATTTTATTGGCATCGTCAAATCATAACTTAACATTTAATACTAATAATTTAATTCCTATATCTCTAATTTAGATTAAATAATTATCTGCCATGTGCTATACATATGTTCTCCAATACAGCATCTATAATTCCGCAGCCCATCTATTCGAGAAGCTTATATAAAGGCTGCATGGTTTACACTATCAAAGTTTCTGTGATCACAGTAGGAATTTTGCATAGGTCAATTCTAACTTTTGAAGGATTTGTAAGAAATGTTTGAGGAAACTGACTTGGTGTTTAATTAGTCATTTCCCTCAAAACTTTCTTACGGGGTTCGTACACCTTCATAGTTTAAAAAATCCAGGGTTTTCCAGGACTTTTTTCATCCTTTTCCAAGGATTTACCAGGGGCATTTGAAATATAAATATCAGTGTTTAACCGATAAGAAACTTTCGCGACGGCCCGACTCTTCCACAGTCCCTAACATTGCTTATTCATGCAATGATTCATGGGAATGCGATGAAATTGAATATAACGCAAAGGACCATGGGACTGCCCCGAGGTGTCAATTCCCATCATTCAGCGCGCGTTGTTGGGTAATTCAGCGCGCGTTGTTGGGTAATTCAGCGCGCGTTGTTGGGTAAAAACCCTAATCCTAACCCTAATCCTAACCCCTAACCCCACCTTCTAACCCCTAACCCCACCTACTAACCCCGCAACCTAACCGCAAGCCCTAACCCCGGCCAGCTACCCCTCCGGGGAATTAATGGAAGGATATGCCCAAGAAATGCTGCGAGCCTGCGACTATATATAATATTGCAAGAAACTTTTGTTCAATCTTTCTTTTCAAGATAGTATTAAATAGTTTAGGTATGATCCTATACCCAGCTCAGTTTCTCAGTTTTCCCAGGTTTTCAAGGGATAAATTTGAAATTCCAGCGTTGTCAAGGGTTTTTCAGGACTAAAATAAAAATGCAGGGTTTTCCAGGATTTTCAGGGGGCGTACGAACCCTGTTCTTACAAAGAATTTACCCATGCAAAAATCGATCCTACTGTGATCACAGAAACTTCGATAGTATAAACCAGCTTTAAGAATTCGGACAAACATATTTCACAAAGTCTCCACCAGAGTCAAAGCATACGCCAGTGATTACGCTCATCAAAATGCAACGACTGTAATCATTAATAAAGTACCTTGAATGTCACAGAACATTAATCATAATCATTGAGCAGATAATCAACACGTGAATATCCTCGTCTGAAACATTGCTCACTCCAGCGACGACCAATCAGAAACACCACGGTCCCAAAGAACAGAATTCCAAAAATTAACGAGATCACTAAAGATACAGTTGTTGTGTGACTTTGCTGTTCAGAGAATTTTTTACGATTTCCTGTTGATGTATGTGATGTAGGTGCTGAAAAATCAAGCATAAAAATTGGTAAAAATATCAAAACTAAGACGTTTTGCTGGGCAGTGGTTACAGCAATGTGCATGAATCCTGAAGTAGCACAGATGGTTACGTTTGAACTGATAGAGTTATCCAGTATAAATATAGTTGGTTGGGTTTAGGTTTCCTCCTGTATGTAGTAACACTGGGTCAATAAGAGATGACTCTTACTGAACCTCTAAGGATAACAGTTTAGAACTGACAAAGTTATCCAGCATAAATAAAGTTAGTTTAGTTTAGGTTTTCTCCCTGTAGTAACGCTGGGTCCGCGATAAGGGGTGAATCTTACTGGAACTCTAAAGAGAACAGTTTAGAACTAATAGAGCTATCAAGTATAAATAAAGTTAGTTTAGTTTAGGTTTCCTCCTGTAGTAACACTGGATCAATAAAAGATGATCCTTACTGGACCTCTAGGAAGAACAGTTTAGAACTGCAATAGCTATCCAGTATAAATAAAGTTAGTTTAGTTTAGGTTTTCTCCTGTAGTAACACTGGATCAATAAGAGATGATACTTATTGGATCTCTAGGAAGAACAGTTTAGAACTGATAGAGCTATCCAGTATAAATAAAGTTAGTTTAGTTTAGGTTTTCTCCTGTAGTAATACTGGATCAATAAGAGATGATCCTTATTGGATCTCTAGGAAGAACAGTTTAGAACTGATAGAGCTATCCAGTATAAATAAAGTTAGTTTAGTTTAGGTTTCCTCCTGCAGTAACACTGGATCAATAAGAGATGATCCTTACTGGACCTCTAGGGAGAACAGTTTAGAACTGATAGAGCTATCCAGTATAAATAAAGTTAGTTTAGTTTAGGTTTCCTCCTGTAGTAACACTGGATCAATAAGAGATGATCCTTATTGGACCTCTAGGGAGAATAGTTTAGAACTGCATGATAGAGCTATCCAGTACAAATAAATTTAGTTTAGTGTAGGTTTCCTCCTGTAGTAACACTGGATCAATAAGAGATGATCCTTATTGGACCTCTACGGAGAATAGTTTAGAACTGACAGAGCTATCCAGTATAAATAAAGTTAGTTTAGTTTAGGTTTCCTCCTGTAGTAACACTGGATCAATAAGAGATGATCCTTACTGGACCTCTAGGGAGAACAGTTTAGAACTGATAGAGCTATCCAATCAATGTATCAATAAGCATTTTGAGTGGTCACGTCACACTTCGTTGCAAGAAAGCTTCCATCAGACCATTAATTATAATTATTATTATTATCTTTAAGGATTTTATTTTGATGGCAAATGTTACAAACAAAATCAACGATTTGGAAAAACTTCTGAACGTCACTTACCTTCGTAATGTAATAGTTCCAGAGATGAAACGAATGGTCGAGGAAAGCAACATTGACAGTCTTTATGATGATGCGAGACAATTTTTAAACACAACCTTCCTGATTGAAAATATTCTTCCAGAGATCGAGAAGGTATTTGATCGCTTTTACCAGTTCAAGGCAGATTTCACATATTTAAAGAGCGACTACCTCCAAACACAGTATAATTTTTGGTGTGTGTAATATTCGGGTCATTCTAAGAAAAAATCTAATATATCTTTATAATAAAAAATCCCATCTTGATCAACTTTTCCAATGCCAAATGTCCAGATATGGTGTCATTAGGTGAATTTTTGGTACAATAAACTCAAAGGAAAACTAATTCGCAATTCACCTAATGACATCATATCAGGAACCTTTGATAGTGAAAAAGTTGATCAAGATGGGATTTTTTATTATAAAGATACATTACATTTCTTCTTTGAATGACCCAAATATTACACATACCAAAAATCATATTTGGGGTTAGTCGCACTTTAATTATTGAAGCTGGTCACAGACGCAAGCAAGTTTTCATACGAGAAGTTTATTTGCTCCTTTGTATAGGCGATTGCCAATTTTTGCTATGGCAAGAACACTTGTTCAAACGATAGTATGCTAGCTTTTGAAGCACGGGCCTTGCTATAGAAAAAATTGGCAAAGCAGTGGTGTAACTTTACTTTTTTGACCACTTGCCCTCTGGGCAAATTGGTCATGAAAATTAGTTGCCCTGAATATAATTTACTTCATGCTATCAGACAATGGCTACTAGGGTACCTAGATACAACATGTTGACCCGTTCTCCCGCTGCTCTATATGGCTATGTTCAGGGCGCTTATATATATATAAGCGTCCTGGCTTGCCCTGGCTATGTTATACTGCCTCAGATCTAGCTTTGGCCCACAAAAAACAAATTTGAAATCAAGTACATGCACTATAAAAAATTTATCTGAGAATGAAAACATAAACTTAAAGATAACCAGTTTTTTGTGGCAAGGCAACTTGCCCAATCGGGCAAGCAAGATGAGACGTTTACTTGCCCGTCATGATATTCACTTGCTCCGGGCAAGCGGGCAAGTGTTAAGTTACACCTTTGCAAAGTACAAATTTGTTTGTCTGTTTTGTCTGTATGGGTTAACAAAGAAGATTTGGCAAAGTAATCTGAGCACTTGCAAGCAGTTGATCAGTGATCTGTTTTTGTAATAACTAATATTGTAAATATTAATGACTATAGTATAATATCCTGGCGGTCAGAAAACCGAACACTTGTCATAGAAATTTTACTGGACGTAAACACGTGCAATTGACAAAGAAACTTTCCAAATAAAAACTTATCGATATATATAGGAAACTTTCTAGTCTGTAATCGACTTGAACGTTTTTGCAATATTGTTGTACATTTATGACGGGTCCTCCTAAATCTTCTTTTTTATTATTATTTTTGATAGGTCTGGGATGAGCTGGGAGTAGACGAAAAGCTAGAATGGCTTATAAACCTGACCAATATGACATTCTTAAGAGAGTTTATTGAAGAAGTCGATCGAGAGTTTAGTATATCGTTGAAAGGAAAGCAAATTTCGGACGGAGATCTGGCTGGTGTTGTGAACGGAATTCTCGATGACTTGTTTGAAACTGATATGCCGGAGATAGGTGGGTTTTGTATATGACCGGACCTTTTTAGGTTTGACATTGTTTATATACAAGTTAAAGTGCCTCATTACTGACTGTTGTTGTGTCTGTCTGTCTGTCTGTCTGTCTGTCTGTCTGTCTGTCTGTCTGTCTGTCTGTCTGTCTGTCTGTCTGTCTGTCTGTCTGTCTGTCTGTCTGTCTGTGTAATTCCCTTGCTTGTTCTGGAAATCTCAGTAACTGTTTTATTTCTTAATATTTTTTTTCTCTCTTAATATTTCCATTATAAAGAAGTGCCTGTAACTAGTCTGCCTACAATGAAACCTACGGGTACCACTGCTAAACCCACCCTTCCACCTGTCTGTGATGCGGACTGTGCTGGTAAGTACCGTTTATGTTTGATGGTGACGACGATTGTGATGGTGTTGATTGTGATGGTTATGATGATGATGATGGTGGTAGTGATGGTTATGATAAAGATCCTGGTTACTGATGGCGATGAGGATGGTGATGATGGTTATAATGATGGTGATGATGGTTATAATGATGGTGATGATGGTTATAATGATGGTGGTGGTGATAAAAATTCTGGTTACTGATGGTGATGAGGATGGTGATGATGGTTATAATGATGGTGGTTATAATGATGGTGGTGGTGATAAAAATTCTGGTTACTGATGGTGATGAGGATGGTGGTGGTGATGATAGGTATGATCATATGATGATGACGATGATGGTGATTATAGTGATGATTATGATGGTGATGATTATGATGGTGATGATGATGGTGGTGATGATAATAATAGTGATGATGGTGAGATTATTCTTCATTCTTCTTCGTTAATTTCTTCTAATTCTAACATTTTATTTCTCTGGTTTTAGGTGTTCCATGCGGAGATGCATTCAAAAATTTCTGTGAGAAATGTGTCATGGTAAGCAAATTGAAATAATCGACTCTACTTAACGTTACGCTAACTAAAGTATACCAAACGGTACTGGTACGTGCCTAAAAGCAATCTAGAGATCTAACGTTTTGCAAAAAACTATCTTGTCAGAAAGCTCAAACAATTGCGAATTGCATGAGGAATCGTACCCCAGTTACAAAGTTCACATGCTCAGGAACACGCTTAGTAGAGAAACGATAGCGCTGTCCGTTCTAAACTAAGTTAGTTTAGTTTAAGTCTTAAACACCTCTTTGTTTCATAATCCCAGGGTGGAACGGGCAAGGATGCGAACTATGGTAAGGATTGCAACAATGAGTGCGGTGGGAGCGCTCGGAATGACAGTTGTGGTGTTTGTAGTAAACCTACCGGAGATCGTAGAACTTCAGCATTCGCTGACTGCAATAATGACTGCTTTGGAACAGCTGTCAATGATTCGTGTGGCAACTGCGCTGGCGGAAAGACTGGGAAGCAAGTTGATTACGCTAAAGATGCTTGCGGTTAGTGTTTTTGTTTCTTTTTCATGCAGGGCTTTCACAATTATTCTAGGAGTCTTACTGTCGTTGCAATGGAAGTGTTGGTAAAATATCGCATCAATTCATTACTTAGAGCTGATCAATTCATTCGTTGAAAAATTGATCAACTTCCTGTGTATTTGAATCAAGCAATGGCTTTACGTTTCAGTGACTGATTGACCAATTGGGAACAAGCATGCCAGTAAACAGGAAGTTGAGCAATTTTAGGTAATGAATTGTTGCATTATTTTATCAACACTTCCATTGCAACGATAGTAAAGTCATCTAAATTAACTATAGGCATAAATGTATATTGATTAGATGGCAACACAACATTCTGTAACCAAATTATCATTAACTACTTTCTTTCTTCAACAAGGTAATTTCAAGATTTAAGATGGCAAATAACTAAATCAGTACAACCTTTACATACAACGAAAGAGTACGATTTATTTTCGAAAATAACAACTGTAGGCTATAAAGTAGATCAGATTGAGGAAAAATAACTTTGTTTGAAAACTTATATAGTGAAGGAAGGAGAGCAGAATTGATATTTTAAGTACTAAACAAAGTAACCGGTGGTAAACCTCGTGGCTTCCGCCGGTTTATTTTGAAAGCCCTGTGTTTTTTAGTGTTTTGGTTTGGGGGGTTACACGAGCCCTGCATAAAGGGCTAGCCCTACAAGTAAGGGTTGTTCTAACAGTTATATTTCGCTGCTGGCAGAGGTCAGTTATATAAGAAGAGCTTAAAAGTTGTGCTTAAATTCTTTCATTTCTTCCCATCCAGGAATCTGCGGAGGTGACAACAGTACGTGTTTGGGATGCGATGGTATTCCTAACAGCGGCAAGATCAACGATTCTTGTAAGGTGTGTGGAGGGGATGGTTCAACATGTACTGCCATATCCACCGTTAACCCCTCGCTGTTACCCACCACCTCAGACTCAGGCCGAACTGTCACTGTTTTGGGAGCAGGCTTGGACGGGTCGGCTATAAAATGTTTGTTTGATGGCGATGAGAGTCAAGGTTAGTACATGTCTGTGTTTAAAAACCGCCTTTGGACTGCAGTTTCCTTATATAGAATTGCTCTCCATTAAGTATTAGGCATTTTAATTTTAACCAAAGCAAATGTCAATACTCTCTTTCTCATCACGTTGTACTGGTACCATCATAGATATCTTATATACACTACAGATAGCGCATCTCTTTTAGTAAAATTGAAGCCAAGAATATTCCAGCGGTTACCCCCATTTGAATAGATGGCGGCCATGTTGAAGTTTCCCACTCGCTAATAAACGCTTAAAAAACAACAATAACTTTCATCATTTGAATAGTTTGAAAATGTATTTGGAATAGGTTTAACTTAATGTTTAAGTTCCCTGTTTAAGAAAAAGAAAACATACGGGTCTTCTCATTTCATGGGAATATCCTGAGTCTGCAATCACGGCTTCAATTTTTGAATTGCAAAATAATTAGATGCACTATCTAGTGTACATAAGATATCTATGGGTACCATGTTGTACAAGGGAAACATGGATCGCGATTAGCGGAACTTCTACTGTCGATTTTTTGAAACGACTTAATTGATTTGTGAGCTCACGAGAAAATACTCAAAATGCTTCAGTCAAATATATCGAGGTTGTTTGCAGCCATATTTTCATTGAACTTTAACAAGCGAATTTACAGTACTGTGTTACAGCATATCAACACGCGTTTATTCATTCCCCAGGTACGGTTATAAACAGGACGCATTGCCAATGCACCATTCCAAGCGGCAAAACAGCCGGCGGCAAAACATTCACAGTTAAAGTTGTCAAAGACAGTGGAGACGTTGCTACAGACGACCTAACCATCACCCTTTATGATTCAACAACTACGAAAATAACCTCACTAACCCCATCTGAAGTGTTGACAGGAATGGACACATCCGTTACCTTTGCTGGGAATGGTTTTGTGGACAGCAGCAGTGCAGCGTGTATTGTTGCTGCTGGTGAAAAGAAAATGTATTTTCCAGCAACATTTCAAAGTGGAAGCTATAGTTGTAGACTGCCTGCTTCTAAAAAATCCATGAGTATTACCCTGGCGTTGTCTTTGAATCGCATACATGAGGTAGGAGATGTTTTTGGTTTCGCTGAGAATCTATAACGAAACTAAATCAACTTTATTTATACTGGATAGCTCTCTTATACTGTACCAGATAGCTTTTCGTAGCGACGTGGAAAAACAGCTTTCCGTACCTTTTAGGGACCGGTCATTATTTATGGTGGGGGGTGGCACCGAAGAGAAATGTTTTTCGTGGCAAAAATTTTGCTGACCCAACCACTAAAAAATCAACCTCAAGTATCATTTAAAAAATAAATACCTACCCCTGGCCAAAAACGTTACAAAAGGATGTCATTCAGTTGTCACACATGACACAAGTCCTTTACCACTTCTGTGATACGTTTGATAACGTTCGGCTTGTGAATGTTTGATAGTTTGATAACGTTCGGCTTGTGAAATTTACTGACTTT